GGGGGGGGGGAGAAAGACACATGTAAACGAAATAAATTTTGTCTTCGGCAGAAGCTTCTTCCTTCCGAAATGAATATTCTCCGTTGAGCAGTATAGGCTAAATACCAAGTATTTATATGGTGCATCGCTAATTTAGTAGCTGCAATTGCTGTTTATTTTTGAAAATTTAATTTTTTTAATTATAATTTTACAGTGTTGAGCATAATCTTGTATGTCTTTACAATTTAAAGACTCCTTGAAAAAGTTTTTTTGCAATAACGGACCCTATTTGCACAAATTCACAAAAGCGGACCCTGGTCGAAAGAATGTGACTTAACGTTTATTTTATATTCACAAATTACGAGTAATTTTTTCACAATTTTACAAAAACGGACCTTTCACAAAATGTCTGGACAGACCCCTGGTTAAATGTAGAACGTAGTTATATCTTTGAATGTAGTTATTTTATTAAGTTTCCTTGCACTTAAGGAGTTTCAATCATTACAGGTTTTACTGCATTTGGGAAGTATTCAATATCAAAATACTAATTCTTTTTGTTGTCTTAGCAATTTGCAAACAAAATATATTTATCTTATAGAAATGTTTCTAGCAATCCTCACTGTACCGCGTTAAGTAGTTGCGTGAATGGATATTGCATAAATCACCCCAAATCTTCTTAAAGCCTGAAATAGAGGTATTCTAATTTGATAATAAGATTTATTAAGAGATATTATTGCGAAGTAGGGCAAGAGACGAGTAATCAAGTATGCAGTTAAGCAAGAAAGCTGCGCTTATGGAGGATTTGAAAAAAGACAAACCAGTTACTAAATTAAATAATATCGGTAGTTCTAATCGAGGTTGAACTTAAATTGAAATTTAGTTAAACATCTTATATAGGTAGCAGCAAATCAGTAAGGTAATATGGTTCAAGGTACCGATACTTAGTTCACCTCTGAACCGATTTTTCTGAGAACATAAATCTTACATATTAATGAAGTTTTCACGTCTCTTGGAGGTCAATTGTAGCAGGTTCTACAGTATTTTATTATTTTTATTTAAAAAATACTTATTTCTGGGTAATGTAATATAAAATTTGTAATTCCTCTTCTCATATAAGTTAAATGCTGCAACTAAATCAAGACATTTTGTTTATGGAGAACAAAAAACGCGATTTAAGATTAAAACTCGGGAAACAAGGCAATGATCGCGTACCTAGTCGAAACGTTTTGAATGAATGTTTATCAATAAATGGATAGCTACTTAAAGTTTGATAATCTCATGAATATTAATTACATTAATATTCTTTTTAACATAAAAAAACACACAAATATTTTTAAAGATTTATCATATCTAACATTCACTATGAAATATTGCACCAAATTTATCCAATTCATAACTATTTGTCGTCAATAGTAACAAAGATATTTTATCATTTAATGGCATTGTTTTTACGCATTGCATTACAAAAAAATTTAAAGAGAAAAAACTGTACTTTTATGAGTGTTGTAATGATTGATCGTAAATGTTGTATAAAAAGTTTAAACATCAATACATTCACCAATTCAGTTTGTATACAGGTAAAGTTTAACCACTTCTTTCATATCTCACATTATGAACAGAAAAAATTTTGTTTTAAATTTATCAATAATATATAATAAATGTTTTATATGAACATAAAACTCACGTTTTTATGACGGCAGCTTTATAATAAAATGCATCAAATTTTCAAGTAAATTCGTCAATGTGATAGCAAAATAGCGAATTATGCCTTATTTTTCCTTTTATTAGGAATTCCTAGATGTTTCTTGTTCCCGCAGTGAAAGGTGGATAAAAATGGCTCGCATAGCTTTTATTGCCATCAGAGTTGGATTGTGTACACATAATGGCCCCAGTAACGGTTGCAATGCTAACTTCTTTTAGCTAAGGACCATTTCAATAGCGAGCTTACAGCGTTGAGCAAAGCAAATTACGCTCCCGCAAAAAAGCAATAAATATATCTTTCCCTTGTCTTATTCCACTTGGACACCACACAAGAGCAATAACGTTTATTTGCAGTTCCCTGCATTGGTATGATGTAGATTTTTGTACTGCTTCTAGCAGTGCTGATATTTTTTTTTTTTATTAGCCAAAACTTACCGCGAATCCTAGGAAATATCCTACTAAAAATTCTATATTATTGTGCCAGTCTATTTCTATGCCATCCTAGTAAGGTAATTATAGGCACTGTGAGTAGTTTTTGTAGCTACTGAAATGTTCCAGCAGCAAACATAAGGCGTTTCCATAAAAAGTTCTTCTAATGCGAACAATAACTGGCAGCAAACGATCCTTCTTATGCGAGAGCTCTGCTAACTTTAATCATAAGAACAGTAAAAAAAAATCTGTATATCCACTTCTGTATTTTTGCACAAACTGCCTTAAAAAAATAAAGTTTAACATAATGTTTTCAGATAATAGCTTTAAATTAGAGCTTTTGTCGCGTTGACTGATCGTTCAAGTTTAAAAACTCAAAAACATAAATTTAGAATAAGTTTATCAAAGTACTGAGATCGAAATACATTTTTAAGGGAATATTTTATCATTTTAAGAAAATTTCATGCAGACCTCCGATAATATTGATACGGTGTACACCATTTCAAATATATAAACCATGATAATTGATTCCTTTATAAAAACTTTCATTTCAAAGGATTTCTTTTTTTTAATTCTTTGAAGAGCTTTTTTTTAAGCTGTAAACACTTATTATTCAAATGAATTTTCTAACAAAGACAGAATTTGAAAAGAGCCTATAAGAATCACAACACTAATGGGTATGAGTAGCTTCTAGAGAAAAACAGTAAATAAATAACAGTCAAACCAATACTTTTGATCAGCCCTCTTGTGAAAAGCTTTTTGTTAACAAGCTCAAGTACCCACAAGCACGTATAAGTATTGAAAAAGTATAAACAGAGAAAGAGGGGGGCGAATCTTTAAAAGCTTATAAAACTAACTGTTTAAGACTTTAAAATCTTTAACAGAATAAATTTGATTTTTCTTTCAATACACACACACATATATATATATATATATATATATAAAAAAGAGACCATTACATTACAGGAAAAGCCAATTTTAACTAGTCTTGGAGATCAAAAGCGTGGGATATAAAATGAGGAATTTTTCAGGAAAAAATAAGAATAGGATAAAAAAAATGATAAAAGGAGACACTGAAGAACCTTTTTCCATTATAGTGTTTTGCTTTAATACGGCTAATAAGCTGTGTTGAAAAAGTCAGGTAAAGGTAAGATATTTCATTCGTTAAGGGGGTATTCCTCTTCGAGAAAATAGTGTATATTTACAAAACATATCGTGGGTTTCGAAACAAGGCGGGGGAGGGGACATAGAGGTGGGGAATCTCTTTGAAAGGCTTCAAAATAAATCGGGTCAAGATTTGTCTCCAACGGCAAGAATGAAGGCAAAAAAGTAAGTACAAATAGAAAGGAAAGAAAAACTTTTTCAGAAGAAATAATTGGGCAGGGATCCAATAGCCTTGCTGCAGGAAAAAGTGTAAGGGTCCCCCCCTCTAATCCTAAGGAAGCTTCGCGATAGAATCCTCATTAGTCCCTTAACAAGAGAAGCACTTTGTCCTCCTTCAGCAGTTGTTAGGACTGGGGCCGTTATTAATGGCGATTAAAAGCTGAAGAGTAATTACGATTCATTAAAAAAGGGGGAGCAATCGATGAAACAAATAATCATTCAGGTTTTTGTCTCCAATTGAAAAGCAAACCCTGGCCGTCTCTGGGAATGGCTCGCGTTTAGATTTCTTAATGATTTATGTGCCTAATTTAGTTGCCAGTGGGCTGCAAGATATAGTCGCGAGCTTTTAGACTGATTTAAGTGTGATGAATGGGTTCCTGTTGCTGTTTGGGAAAATAAGCACAGCTAGAAGGAGTTAGCAAAACGCTAATTTCGCTTGCTGAGTTTTCATTGCGAGGAAGAAATAAAATATATTGTGCAAATAGTCAGACATCCAAGTTGTAAATAATTGAAAGAAAATGTAGCACCTGCTTTAAAAAGCGAAATACACTTAGAACCAGATTTAAAAATTTAACATTTTTGTAAGAAAAAGAAAGAAACACGCATCACCGCATCTAGAAGTCACCTTCTGGCATAAGATGAAGAATAAAATATACCTACACGCGGAAGTTCAGATAAGATTACAAAGCGTTAATAGCGTTTGAAAATCGCTAATAAAAGTCAAGTTTCATCTCTAAAAAGACTCATATCAATATATTTAATACTTTAAAAAATATACATCCTCCCTCCTTTAAAGTTCGAACAAGTTAGCCAAAATAAAATTCAGAAAACTGGGAAAGTCCCGAAGGAACTTTATTTGAAAACTATGACTAAGTCACTAGAAATATAATGTATAAAAATTTCAGAGAGATTTTTATACTTTTTTAAACACTAACAGTAAAGGATGCCATAGACAAATGAAAGTTTAAGCACTTTTTCATACTGAACTAAAATATTGTATTATTGAAATATGATGTTTTCAACTGACGCTTGTCTGCTTCATCTCTGTCATTAGTTTCCGAGCAGCCATAATGTGGCAGCAAAAAGGTCAAAATAAATGTTTGCCTCTACAGAGTTGCCATTACAAACTCAAAAATAATGGGGCAGTTCTTGAGGTGGTCACCATTCATATTATTGCTCAAATAACATAGCGACATGGAGAACAATCTGAATCCATGACTCTAATTCGATATAAGTGTTTTTTTGATAACAGTCATGTCAAGAAAGTAAACCAAAGCAAGCAACTTCAAAGAACTAGGAAATAAATATACGCATCACAAAAGCTACCAACTGTTAAAAGACTTCTCATACGATTTCATGGAGTATGTGAGCGTTTGCAATTTGCGTTTTGCAGCAGAGTTATTTCATATAGTATTTGGAAGCAAAACATTTTCAAGTTCAGCAAGTGCGATTTAGTAAGTTAAGTATAATATGAAACATCACAAGCATAAAAAAGCAAAGCAACTTACTTGAGATAGTCGTTTTTGCAAAGGATCATTCCTCCTTTTGTGAAACAAGAAGTACCAATGTCCGCTAATAGCACTTGACAACACGAGCATTTCAAACACCCGTTGTGCCAGTAGCGGTCAAGTGCATGTAAAAGGTATCTGTCCATTATCTTAGCTCCACAACCCGCACAATTGCGGTTACCAACAGGTCCACCACTAGGCGGCGAAAAATGTTGTTGGTGTTGTTGCTGTGGATGAGGTTGCTGTATGGGCTGCATATTAGCCATACCACCATGGTGGGTCGCCATCATCCCCATCATGTGATGTTGATCCCCATGATGCGGGGACTGTCCAGGTGGGTTCATCATGTTCATGTGGTTTGATGGACAACAGTCCGTCGGGTAATTACTGTATGGGGACTCCGTTATGGCGAGTGTGGAGTTCCTCTTTTTGCGTATGGGTACCAGGATGACTCCTTAAGTTGAAACAAATAAACACAAAAATTAAAAATAAAGAAGTTTTAAACCCTATCTAACAGGGCACATTTAGAAGAGGCAAATGCCGAGAATTTTCTTTCGGAAAAAAGATGGCCACTTTCAGATAGCAAAGAAGTAAAACTAAAAAAAAGAACAAAATCAACAATGCAATGTTCTACTGGATGGCCCCATCAACACTTTAGCACTTAATGTCATTTTGAAGAAGGTTTCACCTTTTTTGCTTCATAGTGAAGCAGCTCACTTCTGGTGGAATCAACCTTTTCTTGTATTTTGTTCACGAAGTACAGAGGGAAATCTGAAAATCAAAAGAAAAAAAAAATATTAATTACAGAACTTTTTAATCAATAAAAATGCTTTAATAAATACGTAACTTTTTCGATTAGTAAATAAAAACATTCAAGTTCATTATAATAAATATTTTAAAGTTTTAACTCTTTCTTGTAAGACATTGTCAAGACATCTTTTCTGACTTACGATAGTCTGATAGATGGGTGACAAACTACACACTATGAAAACTGGACAAGAAAAATATAACGAAAGCAGTTATCAGGAGTCTTAGCCGAGTGTGATTGGGCTTAATCCGGTAGAAAAAACAAAATTTTTCTTAGTATAGTATAGTAGTAAGCTAATCTAACTTTTAATATAATTTTCCGAAGAATCAAATTTCTTTCTCCGTTATAACCGCAATCTTACAACGTATCCGAAGAGATACTGAACAATTAGAAAATAAAGTACGGTAACACTTAGCATGTACACAGATAACGTGTTATCCATAAAATATTTATAATCGTAATATGTAAGTACAGGGGTCTGTCCAGACATTTTGTGAAAGGTCCGTTTTTCGTGAAATTGTGAAAAAATTACTCACATTCCTTCAACCAGGTCCGCATTTATGAATTTGTAATGGCAAATAGGGTCCGGTTATTGCAAAAAACTTTTTCAAGGAGTTTTTAAATTGTAAATAGATACAAGATTATGCTCAGCACTGTAAAATTATAATAAAAAAATTGAATTTTCAAAAATAAACAGCAATTGCTGCTTCTAAATTAGAGATGCAACATAAAAATATTTAGTATTTAGCCTATACTACTGAACGCAGAATATTCATTTCGGACAAATAATGGAAGAATCGTCTGCCGAAGATAAACAAATTTGTGAAGGGTCCGATCAAAAGAAAAATCAAGGGTCCGTCTTTAAGTTAAAATATTTTGTGAAGGGTCCGTTTTTATGAAAAGATATTTTGTGAAGGGTCCGTCAACGGACCCAAATTTCTTCTAAACAGACCCCTGAAGAAAATGCTTTCAAATTAATAATTATAACAAATAACAAGGTGAACGAATAACTAACTACATTGCAGAAGCAGTTCTTTAACTTGAAGTTGCAACAGCACTTTTACTTTTGCAGTTACTTTTTTGCGGTTGAGTTTGTTTTTTTTTGCAGTTACTTTTTGGCGAACCCATAATTTATACTCAAAAGTACCATATGCTAACATAGATTAAAAACTCATGAACAAAAAAAAGTTCGTAAATTTCAAAATCAACCAATTGGGGTGGAATTAAAAAAACTAACATTTATATTTCGAAGATGAATGCTTTTATATACAATCAGGATTATAAATCATAATTCATAACACTTCAAATCACTGCCGTGTTTTGCTAAGAATACAGCTATGTTGTACAATCTAAATAATGCCATTTTTCATCTGTTGTGTCTGGAGGTGGATTAGACAAATGACTTACATTTAAATAAGGCTCATATCTTGACGTGAAAAAATATGATCGTTTTTACGACAATGTTGACGGCATTTACAAGTCCGAAGACCGACAGCTGTGCAGCTCTCACGAGTGATAAAAGCCAAGAATAAAATCATCAACTTTCACCACTCTCTCACGATTGTGTGACAAGACCTCAACTATGTAGTCTCAGCTGCTAAGGTAGTTTTGATGACTGAAACTTGCATGACTTTTTTATTTTTCTTCCGTAGTCGTTATTTTTTACAGACGGCTGTCTAAACGACAAAGAGTTATGTTGTTACAATCTTTTTTCACAAAACGCTACATTCTTTGTTTACACCTTTATTTTTTGTTATAGGAGGTGTGCATGCTAAACAAACATATAAATTTATTTTGAGTTTGTTTCACAAACTTAATTCTTTTTTTTAAGTTTGTTAGACAAACTTTCCGCTTATTGAGCTAACTTGGATTCAGAAGCAATATCCGAAATCATCTTTAATTATAAATTTCTATTTATACCAAACATTGCTTAAAATAAATGCAAAAACACAGATTTTTACGAAACTGAAATTGTTTACAGAATTTAGGAAACTTGTACAGCATTTGAATAGATTAAGAAATTGTTAGGAATTAATTTTTTTACATGGAAATTCCAGATTTTTTTTAAAAAAAAGCTGATAAAGAGAATTTTAGATTTTCCTTAAATTTATAATAGAATAGAGAGTGTTAAATAATCTTTTTATAGACGTAAAAATTGGCAACAAAAATATATTTCTCCTTAATTGGAATTAATCATAAAAGCATTAAGCAATGGCGCATTGCATATAATAAAGATTTTAAAAGCATTATCGATTCGAAATTCCCAAATAAACTAATAACTTAAAAATAACATTTATCAAGATTAAAATTCTAAATTTAATTTCACATATAAATTGTCAATTTGGATGAAATTCTCATTTATTAAATATAAATTTAATTGCCTAAAATAAGCATGATTTTAGACCAAAAACCAAGTAGGTATGATTTTTGTGCAAAGGAACCAAAATATGGGATAAAACATTCTAAGCTTGCTTAATTAATTAATGAAATTTATTATACTAATTGCGTGTCATTAAATGTAAAAGAAAACAAAATGGTGAAATCAATATTTTTTTTATAAAAAAATTACGTTTTCCTAACTAGGGTTAAAGATTAATATAACGAATAAGAAGAATTACTATATTATGAAAGAGTAGATAATATTAGCTGTCAGTTTAAGCTCGTAATTCAATCACAGATGTTGTAGCAGATTTATCTAAAGGTTTCCATATGAAGGGGGGAGAAAAAAAGACTATAAAAAACATTTGTCACAAGAAATAGCAGTAAATAAATAAAGATACATTTAGACGTTAGTGCCATTACGAAAATATGTCGTTTGTTGTGAGCAATAAAAGAAACAGTTTCTAATAAGCTTTGCAGTGAAACATGTAAGTTCAGCTTAAGTGCTATATATATAAAGCTGCTAAAAGAACAGTAAGTAATAGATTTTACACGCATGTTTATGGAAACTACAACACCACGAAGGAATTATGCAAATTGAACCAAAATTACATGAAGAGGTAAGAGACATGCAAATGATTAGGATTAAAGTGATTGCGAGCGTTTATTTGTACCACTATTTGTATATGTATGTGGAATAAATTTCATTAATATCTGACAATTAGGTACTAGCAACTTGTAAAGAAGTGAAGTGATAAGACCAAACCATGTGATTTACATCAGATTTTTATTGGATACCAGTAAGAGACGTCACGCTTGTGTGTCGAACCCGATTGGTTTCTGAATCGGCAAATGCCACGATTTACATACGATGACGTCACGTGCAGTTATTTGCATGGTGTTGCACTTTTCACAAACATTAGAGCAATACTATTGTCTAAAAGATTCCGAGTATAAATTTTAAAACCGTCTTAACTGCGAAAACAACAAGTTCTACAAATATATAAAGGTTATTTATTTATTTTTTTTTAAGTTAGCTTTAAAAGTTAGTTAAGCTTTTCTAAAAGTTTTGAAGTATTTTTGATTTTCGCAAATTTTATGAACTCGTCTCCGAGCTTGAAATTTCGGCCAAATTATTAATAAATCTCTGAAGTTTCAATCGTTTTTCGATCCCTAGTAGCAGAGAATAAAATCAATCATATTATTTATAGCTAAAAGAGTAGGCTAGAAGGAATTTATCGCAAATGAAAATTAACACCACTTAAAGAAGTTAAATTTCAACATAAGCTCTTTGCCCAATGACAAAACAAAGTTACGGTTGTTTTCTAAACTGTGAAAGCAAAATTATTTGCCAATCAAAATTTCCTCCACTTTTCGCCATAATCAAACCTACACTTAAAAAAATAAAAAAGAATGACTTTAAACTGGGCTAAATCTTGTTTTTGCCAGACCATCACTCTTATAGTTAACTTCTACCAAAAATTGCCCAGCAACGTAAAAAAGCCATATCAAATTACGGTATAAAAATACCGGCACTGGTTACGTCATCCGTAAAATCCCATTTCTACCGTAAAACCCATTTTCACCATAAAATATTAAACCGCAATTTTTAAAGTAATATTTAATTAGAATGATTCAGTGATTTTAAGGTAATTATTACTGTAAAAATCAAAAGCATATCAGATTTACCGTTCCATAACAGGTTCCGGTAAAAATGGATTTTAAGGTAAATGGCAGCAACACCCTGAGTGACGGCACTTTTTACCGTAATTTGATCCGGAATTTTTTGCAGTGTTTGTGGAATAGGATAACTAGTTTTTTTCCCCCCACCTTACTTGTTTATGTTTACGTTCGATGTTTTTTTAGACCACCACCTTATTTGTACTACTCGCTTCGTGTGTTATCCTTTATTTTGTTCTAATGAGATCATTTCTAATCAAATTTAATTCAAAATACATTCCTGCATAGGGGGTAGGGCCTTGATGTCGAAGAGGTTAAGGTGATGAAAAGGAATAACCAGTTTATAAGATGTTATACAGCTTTCATATCATAACAAACCAAACATGAATTAAGGAGAAGCCTCAAAAAACGAAAGGTCAAACAAGCAACTATCGTAAACTACTTTGACGGGTTTAAACAACAACAAACAACAGTCACCTCGATTAACTATTCATAAAACGTGACGAGAAATCGGGCTTGTCTTAATTATAAGAGAATCAGAACCATCAGGCGTAGTTAATTTCCAATCTAGGACAATAATATTAGATTTTTTATTAAGATGCAAATTACGAGCGAAATGATTTCTTACTTCACGTTCTATATCATCCCAGAAGTAATAAAATGAAATTTATTCAATAATATATCAGAATCTGAGGTGATCAATAAGAGATTGGCATTGATGAAAGAAGAATGAATTGAATAAGGGCGTAAAATTTATGGCCCGTTACGGTCGCGCAGTTAAACTTTCATTTTATGCCGAGGAATATAAAAGCATCTTCCCCACCTTATATGTAAAATAATATTGCATTGATTGTAATTGATTAAAAATTCTGATTAATTGTTATTTTCATGAGCGGGAAATATA